GTATAGCAAAGAGAGTGCGCAGGAGCTGCCAGCTTTCACCACGATCTGAAGCTCTCGGCGCCCCGTAAAAACCAGTAAACCTCCATACCGAAGCACTCTGATTGTTACTATGAACCACCACATCAATGTGACACTTGCTGAAATTTTTCAACTCAACAGTCACATCACGTGACCAAAACAGACCAATGCCACCACCTAGGCCGACACTGTCGACTGCAAAACACCCTCCAAAACCGAGGGTAAACTTCAAAGCCTCAACTCTTTTAGCTGGAATTTTCGTTTCAATCACAAAGAGAAGAGTGGGTCCTTCTAGCTTCACTATACTGCGAAGCTCGCGAACCGCCTCGGGGTTCCCAAGCCCCCGGAAGTTTCAGCTCAAGCATGTCATTATATCGGGCAGGACCGCGGCGCGGTCTCTGCCGAATTCTCTGGAGTGGGCTTCTTTTTCTTTGGGTCCCGTACAAAGTCATCACCTTCCACTTCATTGCTAGCAGAAGTCTCACCATCCTTGCCAACAGTATCACCTCCATTGGCTGTACTCGGTTCCCCATCTGTGAGCAACAAGGTTTTCACCACCGGTCTATATACTTGGTTCGGAGCATCTTTCCTCTTTGGTGGAGGCTTGTGCTTAATCGGGGAAATAACCTCTTCCCCGGCTCCTTATTGGTGCTTGAGTTTCTAGTCGTTGGCTTATTGCTGTCACCCTTCTGTGGATCCTTAGAAGAATTATCACTACTCAGTGACTTTCGGGAGTCGTCAGGAGCTCGTAATTTTGGGCCGAACGGGAGCTCTCCCTTCTCGTCCCTAGAACCAGGAGTTGGGCAATACAAGTCTGAGTGCCCTAACCTACCACAGGAGAAACAGAAGTAAGGTATATTTTCATACCGGATATCGTACATATCTACCTTCTTCCTCCTGGCAGAGTCTATCAAGATCCAACGCCTGACCGGCTTTGCAACATCGATGGAAATTCTCGCTCGCAGAAACCCACCATTGTGGTCAAATTTAACTGAAAGAGCGTTCTTGTCTATCTGTTGAGCTATTGGTTTCCACCATGCCTCATCACGCAAATTGTATGGTAGGTTAACAACCCTAGCCCATACTTGCAACTTATCAAACTTCACCTCATCCGGCCTCATGCAGTCATCAAATTCCGCTAGCACCACCGCATTCTTATTGATATGCCATGGGGATCCCCCCCAAACACGACCCCTATCTCTCTGGTTCTCAAACTCTGCCACAAAGATGTTAATCCCGGCAGATCTGAACTGAAGACCTCGTGGATTTCCCTATGTCGGGCGCAGGGCGTTGGTGATAGTCTGTATATGGAGTTGATTACGGTGTAGCACCTTACCAGCCAACAACCACTTTCCCGGTCCATCCTCGATGCGATCATCAAGTATTAAAGGAGTAGCCTCTTCCTCGGAGATATCAAGTTTCGCTAGAGCTTCCTCCAGTTGTTTCCTGGCCGCGCGGCCCGCGAGAGGGTCGCTCTCCGGCGCCGCCCCCGCCGCAGAGGTGGATCCTGCCATGCGCAAGTACTCCCCCTCGACGGATCTCTCGCACCGGCGATAGATCACGAGACGAAGGCTGTTTCCACGTCCAAACCCTAATCGCCTCCAGCGCCGCCAGAGGTTTTAGGGTTAGGGGGAAAACGACTAGAGAGAGTCAGTCCGTTCCCCGCCGTTCGTCCGTGTGTAGTACATACAGTGCGCTGTGAACAGAGAATGTCTGCTTGCATTTCGTACTAGTAGTAGTTTATAATATTATGGTATTAGTTTGTTTGACGAGTAGCCGACCGGTTCAATGTGTAGGGCAAGCAGGTGTCGTGGTCCGGATCCCGCGCCGCCTCATGCTGGCCGAGGTCGTCCGGCAGGTCGGCGGCTCGCCGGCGGCGTACGCGACGCAGTGGCTGTCGGACGGGTACCTGGCCACCGTGCAGACCATGGTCCCCCCTGCGGTGCCACCCTTGGTGCAGGACCGTGCTGCGGGTGGGGGGTGGCCGGGGCCGTGGCCCGCGACGTGTGCGCTGCGGAGGAGGGCGCCGCCGACGCGCTCATCCGCCTGATGAGGAGCAGGCACGGCGTGCAGATCGACGACGCGAACTGGTCCCCGGCGCCGCGCCGTGCCGATACGCGCTGGTTTGCCGGGAGGGCGGCCGCTGTGAATGTTGGAGCGTACGGTAGATTCGCTTCGCAGTGGTGCCGTTCGTACGACGAGGCTCGTCTCGGTCGGGGTGTTGGCGTATCCGTGTGGTGATGTGTGGTCATGTGCGATGTGTTGGAGAGTTATTTACCTAAAATCATTACATTTGAGGCTAGGGTAACAGGTCGGTACCAGATTTGAGTCAGGTCACAAAAAACCACCGGTTCTGAGCCTAATACGTAACATGGAGCACTGACGGGCTGATTTAGCCGCGAAAACAGCGAAACCGACATGTGGGACTCACCTGTCGGGCCGATGTGGCATGTCTACATGGATAAATTTGCTGAGGTGGCGAAAGGCCCACCTGTCGGCCTCTCTCTCTCTCCCCCAAGCACCTTCTTCCCCACCAATCCAGCCATATCCAGCGCCGCCGTCGGAGCCTTACCCGGCGAGCCACGCCACCACCAGAGAGCCTCCCCGCCGCCCTAGCGACCTACCGTCCGCCGCCCCAGCCACCTACAACCCGCCGCCACAAGCCACTGCCCCGGGCGGGATCCAACCCCAGCCGCACCTCCAGCTCTTGTCCGCCCCGCCACCCAGACCACTGCCGAGCCGCTGCGGCTAGCCGTCCAGGGCCGCGCCGCGACGCGGAGGGCTTCACCTGCGTCAGAGTCAAAGGCGCGGCCGCGCGTGCTGGGGGGCGTCTCGATGCCGAGCACCTCTCTGGGTCCAAAGGTTGTCGGCACGCTTCGGTCTGGGAAGCCACCACGGGGCACCGCCGCGAGCGTGGCCGTGGCCATGGTGCTCCTTGACGGCGCGCGCGGCAAGGGCCGCGCCGCGAGCACGGACGTGACCAGCACGCTCCACCACGGAGCACCCCCGACCAGGGCCTTTGGCTGTCACCGCGAGCACGGGCGCGGCCAAGGCCAATGGGCGGGCGCCGCGAGCACGAGCACGGCTAAGGCCTCCGGGCAGGGGCCGTGAGCACGAGTGAGGCCAGGTCTTGGGTGACCGCCGGCTAGCAAGGGCAGCGAGCGGCGCTGGCGGTGTGCAGTGCATGGATGTCGGTACACGCACATTACCTGTTTGTTGAAATGTCCAGGAGGAAAATGCCCAGGAGAAAAAGGAAAATGGAAAAAAGATAAACACTTGAGTTATTTACAGGTGGGACCCTCGTCCGACTCAGCATATTGTCCACACAAGCACGCCACGTCAGCCTGGCAGGTGGGTCCAACTTGTCAGTTTTACTGTTTTCGTGAGCTTATCAGACAGTCAGTGCTCTTCGTTAGTCATTAGGCACATAGTTGGTGGTTTTTTGTGACCTGGCTCAAATCTGGTCCTGTTACCCTAGCCTCAAGTGTGATGGTTTTGGGTAAATAACTCTGTGTTGGAAGAGAGTGTGTGTGTGGTTTTATGAATAAAAAAATAGTATGAATAATGTTAGTGTTTTCATGAATAGTGTTGATATATGTGATTGGTTGTAAACGTCGTGATGCTTTTGTCTTTATATCGGGTGCATTTTTTTCCACCTTAATACTGTTTCTTAGTTTAGACGGAAGAATGCTGTTTCTTTTTTTTACGACAAAAAGAATGCAGTTACTTAGGGGTTCCAGTGAATCGAGAGGTTTAGTTTATTTTTTCTTAGGCCAACACACTTTATTAAGCTTCAATCAATGAGTAAAAAGGGACAATGCGTGTCCCCGGGGGGCTCTAAAATCAACAAGATTATGAGCATCCGTATTTTAGCCTCCCGTTCATGATAGGGATTGCTTCATTGAAATTTCTTACTAGACCTTGTATCTACTCCGTCTAAACTAAGAAATGTGATGCCCTTGCGCTTGCAATGGACGCCAGAATGGCGGAATCCGACGATTCTACTTCGCTTCTTCGCAATGGATCAGGGCAATGTCGACAAGAAGCTTGGGATTTAGTTTGGTCGGTTTTAACGGTCGAAATTATTTAGAAACCGCCATAGCCAGCAAACCTTCCCTGAGAGCATGGCATTTGCAAATGTTTTTAATGGCAAGTTCTTTAAGCAGACGTTGCAGTATTAGCTTGCGCTGTACTCCAGGTAGGATATCATGCGTTGTTGCAGTATAAGCTTGTCTGGCCGTATCTGCTGCCTCCCAGAACCCAGCAAAGTGTTGCGTTTGACAATCCAAAGTCCAAACACAAACATATATTGTTTTAACCAGTGGTTACACATTCAGTTTGGTTAATCAACACAAGACAACTCAATCCACAAAACTACATATACTACTCTTATTTACATGTAATGTCACCTCAAGGCAGAACGGATGAACCACTGAGCAGAGCCACCACATTCACAGGTACATATGCAAGTTATCATCCGTATATGTGAGCTTACAAATACTACTGCATAACTTAGTCGTGCAAGTTATCATCCGTATGCATGAGCTTACAAATACTACTGCATAACTTAGCCTTCCACACTTCCAATACATCTCAAACAAAACGGTTTCGTTCCAGACCATGCCACACCGTGCATCACACCCACAGAACACCCAATCCGTGTCTGTCTAACATATTGTTACATGATGAATCGAATATACAAGTACATACACCAACACAATGCCCCCTTCCGTTCCTCGGTTATACAACACAGGCTTACACAAATTACATCAGCAAAACACTCACACTGTACATCCGGAGTCGCTACCACCTTTGGTCAACTATTATTGATACCTTCTTTGCCTTTGAACTTGCTTGTGAACGGGTCGTCTTCGTATCTAGTTGCCCCACCAGAAAGAAAGAGGAGAGGGAGAGAATATACTGCAGCAATCTTCATGATAAAAGTATAGTTTACATCTAGTTTGTTTCATCTGGGACCCGGTCTACCACGATTGCTCCGTGCCGTCATTACCTGTAACGTTTCTTTTTTTACATGCATAGAAGGAAGCCATAAACAAGAATGTGCAAGGTTGTCAAGGATAAGGAAAAATATGACTTTTCCCGTATGCTACCTTTTCTTCTTGGTCTTTTCGCTAGAGGAAGCTGTGTTGCTGCTGTGCCAGTTCCTTTTGCGTTGGTTGATGAACCAATTGTTAATCTGCTTCAGTTGTAACCCCGTCTCCTGCACCAGGCGAGCCTTGTCGTCTTCCTGGATGGGTCAGGCAGGAATTGTTCGTCATGGACAGAAACTAATAGCAAGATGAAGCTTGGAAATGGTAGTGTCACGTACGGTAGGGTACGGCCACTTGGAATGAGCTTGCCACCAGGCTTTCAATGTAGCTGCAGTATCCCCGGGAAGTTTACCAGCTCTCCTCTTGCGCATGATCTCCTCCCTGATATCAACCAGCTTTTCTTTGTACCCCTAGAGGTAGGAAGTTTTTGTTAGTCAACGAAATGTTCCCGTCAAACATGATGGTCACTCTTCAGCCATGAATGATGCAATGAAGCACTTTTTAGGCTGCAATGTTATTACCTGTTTAAGCTCACTCTTCAGCTCATGTCGAACACGTTCAATCAAAGACCGTTCACCCTCGGTCAATATCAGGGGACCAAAGCCCATACCATCTGACCCATCGTTTCCATCAAACATGTTGGCCTCACTATCCACTTGGTTATCTTCATCATCAGACATAGTCGCCCCAGTGCCTTCACCAGGAGATGCCCCTGCAGGATCAATCCACAGAAGCACAACTCAGTTTCCCATGTATTCTATTTCTGATAATCAACACTTCCTTATCCTCAAAAAACATGTGTTCTAATTGTAAAACATATAAACATCTGAAAGACTAAACCATCTTAAGAAATGCGCAGATTAAGTTCCAAAACATTAAGGTATGCAAAGTGAATTCTTATATACATAGTCAGCCCTGTGACTGAAGCTGTGATTGATAAAAACTGTTGCTGAAACCTCGAACATGACAGTAAAATTATGCCATCTGTGGCCCACAAAGGCACACAAAACGGAAAGCCGAAAAACATACAAGCATAGGTCAAATTTAAGTTATGGGAAAGAAGACTTTGGCAGGCAGACCAGAGCATCCTAATCATTCATTCATCAGAACAGATTAAAAGTTCCCTCCCAAATATGCTCGATACTTAATGCATGTTAAACAAATCCAGACTAACTGTTGATATCTATTTCATGAATGGGTCTTGATTTCATAAATAACTTAAGTAGATTAAGTAATGTGGCTTCCACATGTGCACTAGCTAGTATACCTAAGAAGATACACCCTTTATATTGTATTGTAAGGACAAAGCCTTTATATAGTAATTGTAAGGACAACGATTTTCCTGCCTATTTTTACAATAATAAGACGTGCATGTTAATTTACTGATGTTTTCGTTGTTTCCCTCATTTATCAACCTTCCCTTCTCCTTAATTAAAAGTACCAATTCACTAGTAATTGCCTCTGCAAATTCCAAGGCGTTTTATAATTTGAAACGCAGGGCGTAAGTATAATAACATATGGTCATATCTGTGGTCATGAATGGTACTTTGAGTGTAACTTAATGTCATTTTGGCAGCTGTAAAGAGGTAAGGCGGGGAGGGGGGAAGGGGTCTCCTTTTCTCTTTAATTTTGCTGCAAGTTGCCTGCATAAAGTTCAGCTGGCACAGGAAAATGATTTATTTGTTGGGCTAGTACCACATCTGATGAATTCAATATCGGCCTGTTGTGTAGGTGGAGGTGGAATTTAGCGAAAAGTGAAGGGATGTGGCAGGAGATTTTGAGAAAGAATTAAAGCAATTACAATCTAGGATTTGACAGGTTGCTAGAAGTGCTGCTGATACAGCATGTTCGGCTGATTTGGTAAATGACATATCTTGGTATCTGCTTAGCGGAGTTATGAAAATAGGTAATGAAAGGCAGACTGGCTTCTGGGATATATACTTGGCACGGCTACAGGCTTCTGAGCCAAAACAATCCACCTGTTTGCAATCAGTAATGATCTTGGATGCAGTGTCAGGCAAAGGGCAGATAAGAGGGTGGCAATGTAACTTTAGGAGATGGTTGGGGGGACATTTGCAAGGACAGGCTGCAGTACTGCGAACTGAGCTCAGGGTGGCTCTGAACGAAAATGCAGCTGTACCCTGCTGGACATGTATGCAAGCGGCGTCCGCGAAACAAAAATTGCACTAATCTTCATTACTTTAATAACCGTGTTAGTGCAAACTTTCTGTTCGCGGACGGTCGAGGACATGCAGACGCCGTCTGCTTGCATCCCTAAGGCCAAGCTGGCAAGTTCACTGTCTATAAGCACGTATCAGACTATGGTCCTGATTGACATTTAAGCATCTTTGAAAAGCCAAAATTCCAGAAAAGATTAAAAATTTGGTTCTGGCTGATCTGGCATAATCCCATAGTAACCAATGACAACATGGTAATAAGGCCATGGGCAGGGGACCCTCTGTGTGGCGTTTGTCCTCAACATGAGAGCATCACCGCTTGTACTTTGGCTGGCCTGCTTCTAAATGCATGTGGTGTTTGGAGCAGATGGATTGGTGCAGGGGCAGGCCTGGTGTTTCTCAAAGTATTTTTGGTGGATACCCAGAAATCTTCCTGCCAATCAGAAGATCCAGATTGTTGGCCTTGCAGCATTATGCTGGGATATGTGCAGCTTAGATAGAGCTTGTTTTAAAATAAAAAATTAATTAGATCACCAGCGGAAATAATTTGCTACTCGTGCAGTTGTGATATTTCCTGTTGTATTGGGCAGGTCTTCAAAATGCCGATGATCGAGCAGCCCTAGGAATGGGGGCGGTGGCACTGCATCTTCAAGCGCCTGCCCCGCATGATGATGGTGTGCATGAAGCTGGAGGTGAAAACCTGCATATTACTCATCCTGGGCCTGCTGAAGGAGATGGTCGTGTGATCCTTCTCATGGTGCACTTGATGACCGAGAGTGTTTTGATGGATGCTCGCTCTTGCTGTTCATGATCCTGAAAGTTGCTGGTTGGCTTAGGTGTTAGGCATCTTTTGTACACGGTGTTGGCTGGAGTGCCGTTTTTGCAGCCCTTGGTGCTTTATGCCTCTCTGGCTGTAAATCTAGATCGAACCTCTAGTGCTGCTAGTGTTAGGGCGGTAGCTGAACTACTTTTGTTTTCTGTTTTTGCACTGGATCTCTGCACCGTTATCGGTAAGATAGTGGAACCAGGTCCTTTCTTGGATCGTAAGGAATACAAGTATAATAACATACAATGGAAGCTCATAAGCATCAAAGGTAGGCCTATGATAGTTGGAAATTCCTTAAATCAGTTAATCCTATCGCTCAAAGTTTACAGTGTGAAACCTTTTTAAATTTTAATTATGTTATCCGTCTGATATCCATTTTTCTTTCACTTTTCACTTCAGCCACCACGCTTTTTGGTTTCCACATTATAAATAACTACATACTATATACTGGAGAATTTCTGCTACTCTGCTCGAGCAATATACATAGATAAATGCTTTCATTTACCTGTTAGACTTTGTAAGGATTGTTCAAGCTCCCAACAACCCATCACTGCTTCCATTGCATGAACACGTACATGCTGCTGGAGTTGTTCTTTAAATGAACAGAGAAGCAATACATAATGTGTCTACAAGCCAATGAAGGATAATTAGAACCCATAAGAAGGATTGTACATAGAAAAAAACATTATGCTAGATGTAAGCAACATATTCATTTCTTAGAAGATATAAAAGTTTCAGAAAAGTAAAGGAAATTCTAGTCATGCGACATAAAAGCATTTTAGATGATCAGTAGCCGTAAGGGCACTACTAAAGAAGATCAAAGTAAAGACAGAAATGGGCAATTCATACAGGCGAGCAGGTACACTAGTATGACATTTCAGGTGTGCCAAATAAGCTGTTAATACCACAAAAAGGCCCACCAATGACCCATGGCGTATCTATACTACTTCAACAAGTATGGTGCCACTATATCGATGAACCTTAGCGTAGAATATATACTGTATCTGCTTTGGTTTCATTTCTCATTCATACAAACAAATTGATAAGGCTATTCCAGCATCGTTGTTACAATAACCAGCAGTCTCTAGTCAGATCGACCCTCCCAAGTTCACCATAAGGAGCACATCATAAATCCATCACTAGCCCTACTCAAAACCTATGCAAAACTTATCCCAATTTCTCCCTATTCCTAATTCCTATTGTTCACACGAAGCATATACAGAAGACATGTACGGCACCCAGCGGCAACGCGGGAAAAAACAGGCAGGGGCGCGAAAGCCATAGGTACCATGAAGAGGTCGAGCTCCTCGCCACCGGAGGGCCCGCCCGCGGCCGCGGCGGCGGCGGCGAGCGGGGGCGGGCGGGCCGCGATCTGCGCGTCGATGCGGGGGAGCTGGTCGACGGGGGTGGCGACGCGGAGGCAGGCGACGTGGGCCTCCAGGAGCCGCTCGTACAGCGGGTGGGCCGCGATGGCCGCCTTCTCCCTCTCCCCGCCGCCGCCGCCGGGTGAGAAGCTAGGGTTTGGCGACGAGGCGGCGGCCGCCGCCGCGTCCATCGCGAGCCCGTGGTCCGGGTAGTGGAACGACATCGAGCCCTCCGTCGCCGCGTCGTCGGGTGGCGAGGGGGAGGGGGGCAGGCGGAG